CAACAATCCTCATACTAAGCAAGCATGCAGTGACAGTGGAGAGGAAAACTCCCTTTTAACAGGAAGAAACCTCCAGAGAATCCTGGCTCAGTATAAGCAGCCATCCTCCACGACTCACTGGGGATGGAGAAGACAGAGCAGGCAGACAAAGACACACACACACACACACACACACACACACACACACACACACACACACACACACACACACACACACACACACACACACACACACACACACACACACACACACACACACACACACACACACACAAGACAAGTAATGTGTCTATAGTTATATTGTGATGTCTTAGTAAATATTGTATTTGGTGAAAGATAAACTTTATTGTATTTATCCTAGTGGATCTATAATTAAACAGATAAACTAGTAGTAGCACATCAAAAGTCAATGAAAACAAAAAGATATTATCAGGAGAGAGAGAATGTATTAGTGGTTAGCAGCAGTGTGCTAGTCGATGGCCCCCTCCATGAGGCCACCACAGCTCAGCACAACGTCATTGTAGCTTCTTCTGGGGAGAAAAACACTTAGAGAGAAAATAAAGTTAACAGCTGAAATTGCACAAAATAGTACAGTTAAAGAGCAGACTGTAGAATAAAGCAGTAGAGTGTGAAAAGTGGTCAGTGTGTCCTCCAGCAGTCTAAGCCTATAGCAGCTTAACTACAGAGATAACTCTGGATAACCTATCCTATTTAGATGTAGGCATGTTGGAGGCAGGGCAAGGGAGAGCCGTCTTTACCGACTGTATACTCCACCTCCCTGTAATCCCCCACTTGTCCAGATTTAGGCTAACATCAGATTTTAACTATAGGCCCTATCAAATAAAAATGTTTTAAGCCTATTCTTAAAAGTAGGCAAGGTGTCTGCCTCACGGACTAAAGCTGGGAGCTGGTTCCACAGGAGAGGAGCCTGATAACTAAAAGATCTGCCTCCCATCCTAAGTTTAGATATTCTTGGAACCACCAGTAGACCTGCAGTCTGAGAGCGAAGTGCTCGGTTAGGAACATATGGAACAATCAGATTACTGATGTATGATGGACCTTGATTATTAAGAGCTTTATATGTGAGAAGAAGGATCTTAAAATCTATTCTGAATTTAACAGGTAGCCAATGTAGGGAAGCTAAGACAGGAGAGATATGATCTCTCTTTTTAATTCTCATCAGAACTCTAGCTGCAGCATTTTGGACAAGCTGAAGACTTTTAACTACATTCTGTGGACTTCCTGAGAGTAATGAATTACAGTAATCCAATCTTGATGTAATAAATGCATGAACTAGTTTTTCAGCATCACTCCTGGAATGTATGCTTCTAATCTTAGCAATATTCCGAAGGTGAAAAAAGGAAATCCGACAAACTTGTGAAACCTGGGATTTGAATGACATGTCCTGGTCAAAGATAACACCAAGGTTCCTTGCTTTGCTCTCGGAAATTAATGTAATGTCATTAAGGTCAGGTGATTGGCTAAGCAATTTCCTTTTCTGGATTTCTGGTCCAAAGATGAGAACTTCCGTCTTGTCTTGATTTAAAAGCAAGAAGTTAAGAGTCATCCAAATCAATACAATTTAAATTTAAAACACAAACCTGTCACCATGATGCACCGTGTGCTGTCCACACCTATTTACAACCCTGATTACAACAACAGAACTCAGCTAGCAGTGTGTTTATCTCAGCCAATGATAAATCAGAAAAATCACAGACGTGCAACTGCGACAGTAGGCATTGTTGCTTTAAAAACGACGTGCACGTTTTTGTTTGGATGCTGGAAGTACGTAAAACAAGGGCCTTGAAGAGAATTTGACTTGACGCCACATGTCAATAAAGATGAGGAGATGAGGTTAAAACATAATGGAAGAGAGGAGAAAGAATCTTGGTGCAGAGCCAACTCCAAGGTCACCTCAATGTTCAGCGAACGAAGCGATCACAGGGCTGCTGTTCTGAAGGTAAAGAGTGATGCGGATTCAAAATAAAGACAAAATAGGGCACAAAAAAGTCTAAAAGCAAGATGACACTATTAATATTTGATCTGATAATCAAGATGAACTGAAATCTGGGTTCATATGGAAACATTTACAATAAAGCTTTGTCAGCTTTTAGAGAAAGAGTGAACATCTGCTAACTGAAAGGTTTACGTTTCATTTTTGGCTTCCTCGGTTGACACGTTGTCAAGTGTCATGGGCAAGTATAAAGCTGTACATATAGAATTAAAAGATAAATCTGGCGCATTTACTACAGCTCCAGATTTGGTTTATTAATTTTGATGATTTATTTTTAGGACGCTTTATGTCAGTGTAGAACGTCACACATTCTATATCAGATTTGCTCTAGATGGAAACAGATCCTGTTTAATGTTTTTTTAAGTGTAGGAACTAGAATTTAATTTCAAAAGGAAAATCTCAGCTTATATGAAACAGGCTATTTAAAACGCTTAAACATTTAGCTGAGGCCATCTCATCATATTGTGACCAAAGTGAATGAAGCACAGAGCTAACAGCTGGTGGAACGCTCAGTTAGCAGAGAACATTCATAATTCATGATTTATGTGCAATTAACTGGGATGCTGATTTTTCTCCTCATCTAATCAACACTTAAAAATGTTCTTGGTGTGCTTAAAACATTCTGCAAAATTGTAAAATTGCATTAAGTTAATTGGATTACAAAATGTATCCATCCATCCATTTTCTTCAGCTTATCCTGAGTCGGGTCGCGGGGACCCAGACTTACCTCTCCCCAGCCACTTGGGCCAGCTCTTCTGGAGCAATCCTTGGGCGTTGCCTGGCCAGGCGAAAGACATAGTCCCTCCAACATGTCCTGGATCTTCCTTTAGGTCTTCTCCCGGATGGATGTGCCCAGGAAACCTCAGCAGGGAGGTGTCCAGGTGGCATCCTAATCAGATCCCCGAGCCACCTGAACTGGCTCCTCTTGAGCAGCGGATCTACACTCCTCCCGGATGACCGAGCTTCTCACCCTATCTTTAAGGGAGAGCCCAGCCATGAGAAAGCTCATTTTGGCTGCTCGTATCTGCAATCTTGTTCGGTCACTACCCAATGCCTGGAACCATAGATGAGAGTAGGAATGTAGATCAATGCAGACCGGGCTCTGACAGAGGTCATACAGGGGCCTGACAGCCTGTTTCAGAGGGCCTAATACCCCATATACCCGGACTACCCACCTTCTCCAAATCCACAAAACACATGTACGTTGATTGCGCAACCTCCCACGCACCCTCCAGGATCCCCCTAAGGGTATAGAGCTGGTCCAGTGTTCCACTGCCAAGACAAAAACCACACTGCTCCTCCAGAATCCGAGGTGCGACAATCCGACGGACCCTCAGTTTTCTATTTAGGATACAGTTATGTAGCATGTACAGTCCTGTGTAAAGATTTTAGGCAGATGTGAAAAAATGCTGTAAATAAAGAATGCTTTCTGAAATATAAGTAATGATTTATTTATTTTAATCAAAGTGAGTAACCCCAGGAATGTCCCACCCCTGAATTAAATTCAGCCTGTTGCCATATTCCCCATTGTGGGAAAAAGCATTTTCTGACCTGCCCAGTCATTTTTTTCTGGCAGCATTCTGTTAGCTTTAGCTTAGCATAAATGATGTAAGTGAATGGTAACTGCTAGCGTTTCATCCATTCAAATGCAAAATAGATCACCTACTTTTGTAAACATAAATGCATGGCCGCTAGGCCAATACCGGTACAGTTTTTTGAAGGAACCACATTGTACGTTGATCTAAAAACGGCAGAGCACGTGACAGATGAAGCTGGAGTCTTTTGGGTCCACTGCACTGTGTCCTTGCTCCTTGCAGCAGCAGCTTATAGTGGTGCTTTGTCATAATGTAGTTGCGAGTCTAAATCCACTCATAATTCCTTTGTGTTTTTTATTATTTTCACTTGCAGTTGATATGATTATTGAGATCTACAAGAAAAATGAAGGTGATTATTATTGTGACTTTTTCCACATAAAATGCTAGCTGTTACCATTCATTTACATTGTTTATGCTAAGCTAAGGGATAGACAATTAATGTAATACTACCACATCAGGAGAATGACTGGGCTGGTTACAAAATGCTGGAAAATTCTTCCTACAGCCCAGTTCCTTAAGAAACTGTGTGCAAGTGTATAGAAGTAATTTATGCAGTTTTTTTATTGGTGAAAATTAATGATAAACACTTTAATTTTTGAAAGCATTCTTTGTTTACCAATTTTTTTTACACCTGCCTAAAACTTTGGCACGGTACTGTAAGTGTAGGGAAAATCAGCTATTTTGTCTAGTCGAGGTTTAAACACCCCAAAACATGAATTTGCGTACAAAAAAACTGCATCCGTTTTAGAAGGAAGGAGTTTACAAAAATCAACCTGAGGCCAATCGGCCCATCAGCCAAACTGAGAGTAAACAGATAGCTGATGGACAAACTGATACAGAGGAGAGGGGAAGGACATGGGCAAACAGAGATGAAGAGAAACAGGACTGGAGAGATGCATCGATCCACACATGGTCTCTGGTGGACAACATTTAGAACAGATAAAAAGAGTAGCGTTTATCACAAGTATAAAGCAATATTTGCAGTTATATTATCAGGTTTATTACAAAAAATATATACCGTATAAATCAAACAAATGTAGAAGTTGTTTATCCATGTCACTACATGTTATGTCATCTGGTTGTCACCCTGTTTCCAAAAATGATTTTATTTGTGACTTGCTTGCAGCGGTGACATCTATTTCTATCTCTTTGTGTGTGTGTGTGTGTGTGTGTGTGTGTGTGTGTGTGTGCGTGTGTGTGTGCGTGTGTGTGTGTGTGTGTGTGTGTGTGTGTGTGTGTGTGTGTGTGTGTGTGTGTGTGTGTGTGTGTGTGTGCGTGTGTGTGTGTGTGCGTGTGCGTGTGTGTGTGTGTGCGTGTGTGTGTGTGTGTGTGTGTGTGTGTGTGTGTGTGTGTGTGTGTGTGTGCGTGTGTGTGTGTGTGTGTGTGTGCAGGCGCTGTTCGAGCATCCAGTATCTTCCCCATCCTTAGTGTGATCCTGCTCTTCATGGGGGGGCTTTGCATTGCCGCCAGCGAATTCTACAAGTCACGCCACAACATCATCCTCAGCGCTGGCATTCTCTTCGTCTCTGCAGGTACATTGAAGGGTGTTATGGTGGGGATGGGAGGCTAATGTGGACAGTGACGATGTGCTGGTGGAGACGTGGTCAGACTTGTCAAAATAAACTAGAGGAAATCAGAAAGAGACTAGCAGTGTTGGTAATAGAAAGAGCAACAGAAGCAAGGGCAGCACAGACATGATGAGAGTGCATGTGTGAAACAACATGTCTCTGTCGGACTGAGACGGTTATTCAATGGTGTATGAATGAAAATAAAAATGTAATGAGAAGAGGGAAACCTTATCAACACGAATTCATACAACTTCTGTAGGATGAAGCAGTAGAGACCAAGATAGAGAATTTTAGCAAATGACTTCAGTGTGTGTGTGTGTGTGTGTGTGTGTGTGTGTGTGTGTGCTGTGGTTCTAGGACACGGTCTACTGCGTTACACTAGAAAATCTAATACCTCTCCAAGTCACGAGTGAGAGACAGAGTTTGCCGTGTTTCTCGTCTTCCTTTTCAGTGCGTCTGTCTCTTTCGGCCTGTTGCTAGGCTAAAAGGAGGCCGCTGGGATTCAGCTCTAAAAATAAGGTGTCCCTGAAACTCATTTGCTGAGATTCATCTCAATGAGACCTTCAGAATGAAAAAAAGAAAATAGTCCATTCACATTTTTACATTTGCATTTGTTGCTTTCTGCGTTAACTTATACTTGTCCCCCCCCCCCCCCCATATACAAAAGGAATGTCGAATTTTATAAAATCAGCGTATGTCAACTAGTTCCAATAAACCCAGCTGCTTAAATGAAAATAGTAATATACATTTACTTTTAACATAACAGTGCATAACAATATACATACCATACTTTCATTTAAAATATTTGCCTAAAGGTTATTTTAGCCTCATGAGTCCAAAATGCATCAGATCAGTACTTTCCAAAAGTTGAGTTCAGGACCTTGCAATGTTTGGGGAAATGTCTGCTGGTGGGACATCTTGAGGAAATCTCCAGAACATAATTAAAAAAATAATTGCTAGTATCATGCTTTTGCTAAATTGTAAAATAAGTAAATTTAAGAAAACAAAACTGTATGCTGGTCGCTGAAGCTGCTTGTCCCAAATCTGATGTGTTTTGTGGGTCAGAAGCTAAAATGTTCTAGAAACCAATGACCTGGATGTTGTTTTGTAAACTTATTTTGAGAATTTCTATGGAGAGTTCAGCAGACTTGAATACTTCCAAGTGTTCATTTCATTAAAGTGACAATGTGTAGTTTTTACCATTAAGCTATGGAAATATCCATCGAAATGTTGTTGTAAATGAATTAAAAGATGCCCAGTTGTTGAAAAATAGTGACAGTTTCACAACATATAACCATACAAATCTGTTCTAAAATACATGGAGCAGGTCTAAGGGTGTTTCTCAATGCCAAGGAACCTCGCCTTGATGTCTTAGTCCCGTCCGGTCGCCTGGGAGATACGTCATTAGGGACCGCCAAGGCGTGTTCCAATGTTCATGTTCTACCGAGGTGTGTGTTCTCCGCTTGTTAGCCGTTAAGCTAGCTGAGCAAGGATACACGGGAGGTGTCTTGTAGCCTAGCCTTGGTCAAAGATTTTCCACTATCCACTGCAGTATTTACAAAAGCATGGCGGATCAGAAGCGAGCAGCTACTTCAGGGGCCAATATCAAGTTTAAAAGTAAGTCAACTCATTTAAAATAAAATTTTTGATCCAAAGAAGTTATCTATGGTTGGTTAGTTGCTTAGTTGTTGCAGCTTCGGTGACTAGCATGTTGTAACTCTCCTACATATTTAACAAATATATACACAATTTAAAAAGTAAAAGGCTCGTTAAATATTTATATTGAAACGTATACGTATAAAATGTAACGTTATCACCCGTGTCACGTGACCTTACATGACCGCCGTGGACGCAGGGTCACGTGATGCAAGTCTGATCCATTTAACTTGCCCAGGGAAGGACAGTGTCCTTGTAAGCAAGGTGCCTGGCATCACAAGACATCGCCTCGCAAGGCCAGGTGACTTGACATTGAGAAACACCCTAAGTCTCTGGGCAACGCCACATTGGATATCATGTTTCCTTCTACGGAAGCCTGTGAGGACAAGATACATTTACTGGTTTGTAACAAATGGTTACAAAACTTTCACCAATAATAAACGTTGTTGTTTTACACATTTACCTCTTCACTTGTTGCCAGTGATGAAAGGGATTCTGATGTGCTTGTTGTTTTGCTGGAGGTTCCACTCCCAGGGATTTTTTACCCTAATGGTCATCCGTTTGTAAGGGCTTACTTGAACACAAAAATACTGCTTGCTTGCAATGACTTAGGCATGTACTGCCTTCCATTGCCAGGGAAAAAACACACTGTTACTTGAATGTCTGCAAAATGGTCTCATGTTAGGTGTTTTACAAATTTACTCAGACTGTGATCTTGTTTCCTTTAAAGTGCAAGGTTCACCGAGAATCTGAATGTGAAAATAGCCTTAAACCCCTATTTCCTGCATTAGCTGCTGAAAGAAATAGATGAGGAATCGCTTGGGTCAGACAAAGCCAGACAGATCTACAGTATGTCACACTGTAAATTCTGCATTCATGGACTCACTCATATTGGCTTCTAACCACAGAAGGCTGTGTTGGGTTTTGCAGCCAGGACACAGCAAAGCATGTCAAGGCTAGTCGAAGCCAATTGACGGCATTAGCAACTCTACAATCCAGCAGAACTCCTTCTGGCTTGTGTTATTAATGAGGATAAATCATCAATGTTGCAGAGCAAATGGAAGCAGTGGAAGAGTTGCATTGCTGTTAGCCAATCAGAGGTGAGATGTCTTAAAAGAATGAGTAAGACTCTAAATCCTGCTGATTCCTGCCCCTCTCTCCTCCGGCTAACTTCTACTTCCTGAAACAGAGCTTTTTTTCTACAGCAAACGACTCACAAGGCATTCATTTATTAGACGACCAGCCTAGAATCTAGACTATCATTTGCCAAACCTAAATAATTTCACTTCACATATCAGTCTAGGCACGCTTTATTAAACCTCAGCAGCCCCGGCCAATATTGTGGCTAGCTAATCACAGCAAGTTTATGTAGAAAAACGCTTAATTGTCTTTTGTTTGTATATATATATGTATATATATATATATATATATATATATATATATATATATATATATAATGTCTTCTTCCTGCCCCGTTGACTGTCACTCGTGGCGGACCAATTACAGTGCTCTATTGATTATGGGGGCCAATCACAGTACTCTGTTGCTGGATGGGATGTTACCAAAAAAACAAAGATGGGGACGGCTCATTTGAAACAGAATAATAAACTTTGGCCTATTTTGAATTGGGCTTGTCTTTGAGTCGAGAGCAGATAGAGATACTTAACTCATTCACTACCAGCCGTTTCCTGATCGGTAAAGCCCTTCGCTGCCAGCGTTTCACAGTGTTTTTACAGCTTTTTTTAAGAGTCACAGAACGTTGTGCGCTAGGATGATGTCGACACCAAAACTACCAAAACAAAGAGGAGACTCACTGCTTACATCAGGAAGAATCCGCGTGTTTCGAGTGTTATCCGTTCTTTCATAATCTGTTGTCGAATTGTGATCGGCAGAAGCTTTTCCGGTTCGCGTTTCACTTTTTTTTACAGCAGCGGCCCAAAATGATCTCCTAACACATGGATTTTCTGCTTCCTGATCACGTGACGTGTGACGTATGTGGATGAAGATCGGCTTTAGAGCTGGGATGCTTGTTCACACGATGCGGGGACTCGTTCCGACGCCCACACAGTAGAAAAAATGCAAATGACGACTTTAGTCGTCAACGGCAGTGAATGAGTTAAGTTTATTTAGAAAAAGGATGTTTTTGCATCTTCTTTGATAGAGTGTGGTAGACTGCCTCGTTCATTGACATTTGTAGCAGTACATCATGGTGTTCGTTATCCAATAGTTTGTGGAGACCGTTTGAAAGACAACCATAGATCCCGCCCCATGACTGAGAGCCGTCAATGGACTGTGGCCAGACTATATATTTACATATACATATAGGATGGCTTGCCAGGCTATGAGACCACAGCACATTTATTGAAACATCAAGTGTATGCCCTCTTTAAACAAACTTCTGCTGGAGATATTCTATATTTTCCTTTTTGAACTCATTTATTTTTCTCTTTTTTACAGGCCTGAGCAACATCATAGGAATCATCGTGTATATATCAGCAAATGCCGGCGACCCTTCAAAGAGTGACTCCAAGAAGAACAGCTACTCTTATGGCTGGTCCTTCTACTTTGGCGCCCTCTCCTTCATCATGGCCGAAATGGTGGGTGTGTTAGCTGTGCACATGTTCATCGACCGGCACAGAGAGCTGCGAGTGGGTGCGCGAGCTGCAGACTACCTCCAAGGAGCAGCCATCACACGCATACCAAGTTACCGCTATCGTTATCGACGCCGTTCGCGTTCTTCGTCCCGCTCCACGGATCCCTCGCAGTCTCGCGAGGCATCACCAGTGGGCCTGAAAGCCTTCGGGACTCTGCCTTCCACTGAGCTGTCCATGTACACACTGCCCAAGGGCCAAACGGGCACCCCGACAGCTACCTATAACTCTACAGAGAGGGACCACAATTTCCTACAGGTCCACAACTGTGTTACTAAGGACCTGAAAGACTCAAGCGGCCACAGCAACGCCGCCAACCGGCGCACTACGCCGGTATGAATCACATATGGACTATAGACTCTACAAAAAGTAAAAAGGGATATTAGTGAAAAGCACCAAAAGAAAGACTGTTGTGTGAAAAGGTGAGCAGACGTTGGTAGATTGAGGAGTGAGGGGCAGGAGTGACAGAAGATCCAAGGAAGCTGAATAATCAGTGAACTTCTGATAAAAATTAAGAAAAAAAAAAGGAAATGGAGTTCAAATGCATAAAAAAGAAACATGCATGATTTTCCCATGAACCATTGTTTAATGTTTTTAAGGTGGGTAAGGAGTCAGGAGGTCGGACATCTTGAATGCTGCAGCATTTGGGGTGTTGGCCGTCTCAGGGCCGTGGATCTATGGATGGGTGGGCTGGGCCAGGCTGCCTTTTGAAAGACAAACTATTTTCTTCTTGTTTTCATTCTTCTCCTCAGTCCAAAGAGCGGCAAAGCTTGCCCCTCGGCCCAGCCTTCAAACCTGCCCTTGCACTGTCATTCCACATCCCTGCCAACACACACGCACACATCGTAAACTTCCTTTTACTCTCCACTACTTTGTTTAACGGCATTCTCTTGATTTAATTATTTAATTGCATTACTACTGTGAACCATTGCGGTGTGGAATTCAAGCAGGGAGCAATTCAGGCCGCAAAAAATAAATGCATAAAAAAACATTTAAAATATAAAAGATAAAAACATTTTTATTAAATGTATTAATTATATATAAATATATATGTTCATATATCATGACTAGACTTCCCTGCTGAAGGAAAAAAAAACAAGAAAAAGTTAAGTAACTTATGAGTTGCTTAATGTAGTTAAACTAAATCTAGTCATCATGGAAGCTCAACCAAGATGGAGGGCTCAGCATGGCTGGCTTGTTTACGGTCAAACCACTGATAAAGTAATACTGGTTAGTAATGGACACACCGGCAGATTATTTGACAACAACAGAAGATACAAATAAAAATGTTCTGGCAGTTTGATGAAATCCTGGCTGCCATATTTGTTCAGAGATACATGGGTAAACTTTAGCCTTTTATGTTCTTTTACTTTTCTTTTCTTTTCTTTTTGGCCTCATAAAGAGGCAGAGAGAAGTGAGGACTTGCTTAAGAAATGATCTCTCATCAAACTTGAAAAATGACTGTGGACAATGAAACGTCACTACTGCCTAAGACACAGCTAGCGCGTGAGAGAACACAGATACCGCCGAACTGAAGTAAGTGACTCAAAAAAAAAAAATAACTATTACAAATTTACATGCATGCTGATCAAAATCATCAAACCTGCTTTTAAGAAAATGATGTTTTGAACAATTAGACACTGATACCACGTAAGGGCGGTGGGATGATAGAAACTAACGTGTCTTTTCAACCTTCTTCCTTTCGTGGTTCGGGGTTTGGATTGGGGCTTCACTATGCTTGAAACAAAAACATACTTTGGGAAATGTTAACAAGGCTTTTTATTGTTTAAGAAAAGAAAAAAATTGCCTTTTTTTATTTCATTTAAATGGTTCAGTTAATTGCAACTACAGCCTTAGTATCTCTTATTTTCTCTTGCTCTTTGGTTTCACATTGTGTTGTTGTAAATGAGAGTATATGAAAACAAAAAAGTCTAAAATCTTTCAGGGTGCCAAAACTGAATGATTCTGAACTTGGATGCATCAAGTCCTGATGACAAATAAAATTTCACCCCTCTCCCTGTAGGGAACTGAATGTGCGTGTTGTTGTTTTGTGTGTGGATGAAATTTTTTTAAGTAGCTTAATGCAGAAAATGAAATTTCAACAAATCAAATAAAATAAAATGTATTTTTATTTAATTACGTCCATTCATATCCTGTAATAATTACTTTTTTGCAAGCTCATTGTGCTAATAAATGGCTTTAAAAAGTCCCTTGAAGGTGTGGAACCCTGAAAAAACATTTTTAAAATCTTCTTTCTGATTATATTTGGTCACTCTTGAGTTTTTCATGCAGGCTGAACAGCAACTCCATCACACAGCAGAACACCTCCAGGCTTGTATTATTTGTGGGGAAAACACTTCAACGGTGCAGAGCAAAGGGACTCAGTGGTAGAGCCGCTGGTTTGCTGTTAGCCAAACTGAGGCAAGATGTCCAAATATCAGGAAATAGGTGTCCAAATCCTGCTGTCTGAAGCTCAGCTGTGATGTGGCACGCTTCTAGTTCCCAAAAAATGGTGCACCAATGTTTTCCTTCCCCAGAGTACGATTTACAAGACAGTCATTCCTACAAGAGACCACTGGAAATGTATTGATTAAATGAGTGTTCCACACCTTTTTAATGTTTGTCAGCACAGAAGAGAATAAAGATTGAAGATGTTAGAAAATACCTGCTCATGAAAAGGGAGTTTTCTTCCTAATAGGCAAGTATCTTGGGTAAATAAAAAAGTATACCTGCGACAGTTTCGACATCTTACTTGAGGCCTTCTTCGTGGACAGTCGTCTGCTGGAACAATCACGTTTTATATCCAGTGCTCTCAGTGCACAGCAGGTGGCAATGCATGAAGGAGGCCTAGAGTAGGAGGCCGAATCTGTCGCAAGTTATAACTCTTTTGTTAACCCGTTTTTTTTCATCTGACGACATCATCTAGAGGCTGACAAATGTATTGCACCTTAAGTCATTCTCCACACTTATACATTTACTGCCAAAAGCAACGCCTCTCGGTCTTGAACGCACGCCAACAGAGCTAAAACATGTTGTTTCACAATTATTATTCTCATGTTGTCCTGTTTATTCATATATTTACTTGTCCACAAGAAAGGTCACCAACTCTGCCTTTGTCTAGGTGTGTCCTCAAATGCTCCTGCACGCTCTATGATTGACATCTGTACGTAAGTGGATGTGTAATGCTATTGGCTAATGCTGAATGGTGGTCAGTTCAACTTGCATGAAGCTCTACAGGACAGTGGTGGGCTTACCAAAAAAAAGTATGCATTGTCTACATCATATCACAGAACAGGGATTATCACTTTTAGGGATTTTAAAAATACCCATATTAATCATACATAATTCCAGAAAAGGGGAAAATTTCAGATTGTCGCTTTCCCTTTTTGCTAATGTTATCAATGCATAATGAACTTCATAAATGAAATATGTTATGTAAAATTAAAACTTTTTAAAGTTTCTGTGGCAAGGTTATGAATCTTGAACTGATGTACATAATTCTTTGAATTTCCTCAGTTTGTAAAAACAGATAAGCTAACAGCTAACAGCAGCTAACAGTAAAGCCAAGATTTGGAGTGGATTTTTGCGATCTTCAAGGTTTTGTTGTCGTTTGTGTGAAAGCTATTTTCTAAACCTTTAAAGTTATTTCAATTTTAGTGTTTGATGAAATGCTGACAGGCAGTGTTACGCACTGATATTTAATTCAATAAATCTTTGCACAGCCTTAAAGGGCTGCATTCTGTTGGGTTGATCATCCAATAAAAAATTTCACACAGCAGACAAAACTAATTAAAAGTGCAGATACGTTTCACTCTGAATCACTCCCTTAAGTCACTTGTTTTCAGGGTGTTTCTGCAGAGTTAGTAGGATATACTCACTTCTGGTGCCAGCCCCATAGCGGATGAGGGTGGAACTGCAATTTTTGCCACTTCCTTGTTGGCATCAGGTTTGAGAACCTAGGGTCCCCCACGGTCTGAACGTATGCGCTGTCCGCATCTTGATCTGTCACTCTCTCTTTGTCCTCCCCTGGTGTGATGATCAGACTGGCTAGCTAGCATGTCTCTCTGCAGCACTGCTGTGATCGCTGAAGGGAGGGAGGAAGGAGGGGGAAAGGAGGAGAGACTAGAGCAGTTGTTCAGCCTGACTTAAATGGTGCTGCACTGCCCCACCTGGCCTGGAGGTACTCAGAGCTTAGTGATCGAACTTTGTGACCTTGGCAATGTGTCGAGAGCAGGATTCTTCCCCTTAACGGTTATGGTTCTGTTGCAGAATGATTTTAGGGTGATTGTGTACACTATAAAACCCAACTGATAAATAAATTGATCACCTAATTCTAAACACTTAAAGGTGTCCTTTAAAACTGTTCATATAAACAATAAATAATAAATACTGCATATAATACAATAAAAGATTTATGTTGTTATACTGACAAGATAAGGGGCATTACAACTAATTATTGAATACTTCTGTTCATATGGGTGAGCAGCAGAGTTGGGGGAACAGCTGTTGTGTTTTCCTCCACACCTGCAATTAGCATGATTTTTAGGTCATAGACTGTTTGAGGCTATGGAACAAGCCTTGCTGGTTACACACACACACACAACAAACACATAAAAAAATCACAGAGACTAAGGTTGCGGCCAGTTACATCAAAAACTACACGAGTAATTACAAAATGCTATTTAGGTTATGATATAAAGAAATAATTTGGGGTCTGATTTGATATTTTGTCTGAGTTCTGGAAAACAAACGCCACGGTGAAACTGAATAAATGAAGAGACCTTGTTGTGCCTTAAGAAAAATAATATTTTTAATTGTCAAAGAGTATCTCCACTGGAGTGAAAGTCACCAGATGGAGAGTTAAATAACAGAAAGCTGCTGTGTACAACTTTACAAGTGATGGGAGGATTACCGTCATTGAAATGACTGCCCGGGATTTCCTCAGAGATGCATTTATTACCATGTGCTGCTGTAATTGTCAAAATGTCCAATGGTCTTCAGGTAAACGTGAAAAGAAAGAGTAAACACTGAACTCGGCTTTCTCCAAACAGAGCCTGTTTCATCAATGTTGCACCAACAGTCACGGTGCTGCATGTGGTGCATAATGTGATGAAAACCATTGTGTTTGACTTGAACTCACATGGCCCCATTTGAGTGGTGCTGGTGGCAGCTGGTCTGAGAGGCAGGGAGACAACAAGGACGTGGCTGTGACCTGGTTTGAATGGGAGAACGCCAATTAAAATGGTGATTACTGGTTGTTAGCTCCACACCGGGCACAGAGAGGGCAGAGTAACTGTGAGAAAAACTCCACATAGAACAGGAAGGTGACAGCAAAGAGCAATTATGAGATTCGTTAAAAAGCAACAAAACAACCCAATTTTGCCAGGGAGAGATGATCTATATTCTTTAGCATACCGAAATATGAAAACAAGGATAGGAAGGGTAAGAAGCAGCAGAAAAGCCAGTTATTTGGTCGTAAATTAGATACAGAGAGAATAAGGGAAAGCATTAAGGCCTAGTCCACACGTAGCCGGGTTTTTTTAAACGAATATCCGCCCCTCCAAAAACTTGCATCCACACCACCTCGTTTAAAAAAAAAAACTCTGTCCACACGTACCCGGATAAATACGTTGTTAAGGACATGCCAGACCTGTAGGCGGCAGTACTTCCCCCGTTCTTAACCTCGTCCTTCGTCTGTGGTCTTCCGCAAGGAGCAGTAATTCCTCTTGCAAAAACAAACAAGCAAAAAGCGCTTGGACAATTGATAAAGCGAGCGCAGCTCAGAGATCATCCATGCTGTCGGCTAGTGTAAACACAGGTCGCACACGTGATGTCAGCATTTTTTGTCGCGGAAAGTGACGTTGCGGACCTTAAAACTCCGGTTTTGTCTGTCCACACGCAGACACCCAAAACGGAGAAAACACAGATCTTCACTTTGGCCGGAGTTTTTAAAAAGATCCGTTTTCGTGTGGATGACAGGCCAAAACGTAGAAAAATATCTACGTTTTGGCAGATCCCCGGCTACGTGTGGACAGGGCCTAAGAAAGAAGGTAAAGTTTAGGTTCTTATCTTCTAACAAAGTTGTAGTCTCATTTTGGTTTTGGCAATCACTACCAGAGTGAAAGCACACCCCGTGTGTGCACATGAAGGAAAACAAACACAGCCAGCTACTGATTAGCATAAAATTGTCTTCATTAAAAGGAAGAAGACAATCTTTTATATAGCGCCTCTTAATATAAAAATCACGAGGCGCTTCACAAAACTAAAACAAAAAAAATTAAGCATAAAAATATTTCTAAAATTATTTTAAAAATGTTTAAAAGGAGATTAAACTATGTAAGGAAAGGGAGAGAGAAAACGAATAGGAAAGAGGGAAATCAGTGGATCCCAGAAAAAGCGGAATAAGAACAGAATAAGAGGAGGGTGGTGATGAAGGTCACGCAAAAGCCAGCTTGAACAGGTGAGTCTTCAGCTGCTTTTTAAAGGAGACCACTGAGTCCACTGATCTCAGGAGGAGAGAGTTCCATTTGTAGCCTTAATAAAATAAATTTAATAGTTTCTTATGTTACAGCAAGACACAACATTCTGTTTTCATCAATATTATCAATGTGGTCTTGGGTTTCAATTGTCCTGGGTTAATAGTTGCCATCTGTGACAGTGTGTGAAGATGAGGTCTAGCCAGGACTGAGGTTTCGGACGGTCTCAAGGTGCTCGTTATAGAGAGAGTAGAAGGCCCGGGCTACACTGAGGAATGGTGCATCACAGTTTTCCATCTCTTTCTGGAAGAAATCCACATAACAACAATAGTAAATGCAAAGAAACATCACCTAAATATGTAAGATACTGCTACCCAGAAAATAGAGCTTAAATGTTATTTCTTTTGTTATTGCGAGTTCACTATGAAAATAAGGTCGCATTGAGGATTTTGTGTATTTTCAGCTAAACTCACAGCTGATGTCTCATGATACTCCAGTCCCTGGCTCTGGGCCCATTCCTTGGCTACAGACGCTTGTACTTCTCTTCTAGCAGACAGATCGGACTTGTTACCCACAAGTACACCTAAACAGATGCACATGGACACCGGCTTCAGACAACATAAACTCCACATACATCTCAAATGTACAAACTAATATCTTAGCTACAGAAATAATTTAAAAATTCCACATAATTGAGGCGTAACATCCAACAGTTAATTTTCTATATCTGCTTGACTGTGTGCAGGGTCAGTGAGTGTTAAAAATGGTACAAGGCCTGTATTTGTGTAGCACCTTCTTAGGGTTCCACAACACCCCAAGGCACTTCACAACGCAATCAGTCATTCACCCATTAACACACACATTCACACGCTGGCGGGGATGAATTACGATGTAGCTCCAGCTGCCCCGGGGCGCACTGACAGAGGCGAGGCTGCTGAGCACTGGCACCACCAGTCCCTCCGACCACCACCAGCAGGCAAGGCGGCAGTGGCGTGTCCAGATATTTTAAAATGGGGTGGCCAAGGTGAGGCACTACTTTTTTTTTTATTTACCCCAACCAAGCCTTTTGTGGACAATAAAAAGCCTATTTAAAGGGAATTCAGTGTGGTGGCAACTGGGGTGGCCAATCAGATTCCAAGGGTGGCATTTGCTACCCCAGGCCACTCCCTGGACACGCCCCTGCAAGGCGGGTTAAGTGTCTTGCCCAGGGACACAACAGCAGCATTCTCCGGTCGGAGCCGGGATCGAACCTGCAACCTTCTGATTACTGGACAACCCGCTCTACCTCCTGAGCTACTGCTGCCCCCAAAGCCTGGTTTGTACTTCTCCGTGAGCTCTTAGCAACGGAGAGACGCACACGGAGTGTCGGAAAGGTTTTCACATTCGAACTTCTGTTCAGGCAGCGGAGTGTTACAAAGAAACTCCCCGCCAGGACAACAGAGGGCGTAGAGCTGTTCTGTGGTTTTCTCATGTATCCAGTCCACAATAGTGTATTTTCTAATGTGTTTATATATTTCAGAGACTTTATAACACAGACAAATTTGTTCCTCATTCTCCTCCACCTCTTCATGTGGTCGCCACCTCTAAACCCACGTTTCCCGTCGTTTCCATCCACGTTTGCTCCGTATTTTGTACTCGTTCACTCACGGGTGAATAAATGTTCTTATTTTCAGACTTTTTTCGAGATGCTTTCTTCAATCTCTTCTGGGTCTGCTGCTAAATATCTTATTACTTTTTAACAAGGCAATGGCGGTGCCGGTGAGGAATTTACAGGAAGCGGCGTCCTGACCAGTGACAAGCTCGAAGTCTCCGTCACTTTTGACGGATGTTTAAAATTTTGGGCATGTCTCCGTCACCCTCTGTGAGCCCGTTGGAGAGCCCTTGCGTCGGCGTATCTCCGCACCGACGCAGACGGAGAAGAATAAATCAGGCATAAGACCATAAAAGTTAAAGTGGTGGCTGAAACTCTGGACAGGGGCCCCCTAGGGACAATTTAGGGTTCTCAGTTGACCTAAAATATATATATTTTTGGTCTGTGAGACGAAATTGGAGTGCCCAGAGAAAACCCACACATGCATGAGGAGAAGAGGCAAACTCTGAGCAGATTGGCCAAAGCCGGGAATCTAACTTACAACCATCCTGCTTTACCCACTGAAATAAAATGAACAGTATGACCATCGGGTAAGAAAAAAGCAGATTTATGTCACATTGTAAATTTTGCATTTGTAGTTGTGAAGCAAAATAGAATACCGGCCTTGGAAGTCTGTATTTACTTAGCGTCCAGGAGAAAACAGAGTTTGTCATGGCTAGTAGAAGCTAACCATTAGCATTAGCAATAATTGTTTTTGTGGAGATAATACATCAACGCTGCATGTTTTACCCAAGAAAGAAGAGTAGTGATCTGACGTTCACGAACGAAACTAATCTCTTGAACTGCTCTTCAAAGTGAACAATGAGAGCCAAAGCCTTGGAAAGAACCATTCATCTTGTCTTCCAGTAACGCCCCACACTCTCACATTGGTGGAATGCTAACCCAGTCCTCCAACTAACTTCTACTTCCTGAAACAGGAGCACCAGAGCTTTCTCTCCCCACAGAAAACACTCACAAGGCATGATTTAAGACACCACAGCAAATTTAATAAATAACAAGTGCCTGCCCTCTTTAAAGTAAAAGCATTACTGTATGTTGAACAAACAACTTCAGAAAAGATTAAGTCCAACATTAATAAAGACACTTTCTGAAAAGTTCTAGTTAAAGTGTGAGATTTATCAAGCAAACAAAAAATATAAACTATTTTGCGACTTAGGCAGATAATTAAAAATGTTAAATAATGCTAAGTACTCTAAAGTGCATGATGAGGTTTTGATGTCTGTTGGTACAACAGCGTTACTTTTATTCACCTGAAACACGAAGACCTTGGCAGTGCGTACGAACTCTCTCCATCCAACCACTGCAGTTGACAAATGACTGCTCATTGGTCAAATCAAACACTAGGCACACCAAAGAAGGTTCACCCCACTGTGAAAAAAGGGTGATATGTAGCAGTAAGTTTCATAGAAGCAGGGGGAAGGGACAGGTAGAGTCTGAGATGCTACAGGGATGTCCTATTAGCTTTGTTCTGTCTATTGCAAAAACAATACTCAAGTAGCACACTGGTGTTTTAACATTCTGAGGGGATGGAGCTCTGGTTGGACAGTTTTATAAGTTTCATGCAAATTAAACAAAGGTAATCTGACCATTTTCTCACAGCCCTCCGCTAGCGTCTCCTTCCCTGCAGAGTCTAAGATATAGAGCTCCTGGAAAGAGAGGCAAAAAAAAAAAGGGGGAAGGCAGAAGTGTTAACCGTGGAGACTTGGACTACACAATTTAAAATTCCCTTTCTCCAAGGTAAAGACATTCATCTTCTACAATTCCCCTACACTGCTCAATGAATACTGATAAGAAAGGGGGAATAGTAGATGGAAAACTTCATTCGCAGTGAGTGAGGGTTGCCAAAACTTGGCCTCTGTAATTTAGGTACTTTAAAATAGAAAAGAAAACATGAGGTAAATATTCAGCAGGTTTACTTAAATATCTATTATTCTTTTAGATTAAAGAATATCACCAAATTTTTGTTTTAAAATGTGAACAAATCAATGAAAGAAATAGGACAAACACGTTCACTAACACTAAAATCAAGACAAATGTTGTTGCTAAATAGTGCAGAGTTGTTGCTTGTGTCGGGAATCCTTCTCAAACCATTCTCTGTTGCTTCTCAGTTTAGTTTCCATGAATCAGAGGTGCAAGAAATGTCAGACAACTTTAAGAAGGGTTAGTGACTTACAGCTGCAATGGCAGATTTGGAAAACAAATTAGGTTAAAAGTAAAACAACGTTCCAACATACTATAAACATGTATATTTTAGAGATTTGAAAAACAAATTATTAAAATGTTTCTTTTGAATTTATCTAATAAGCTCTGCCAATAACACCTTTTGGACCAAAATAAACAATTAAACCATACGGTTGTCAGTCTCGCCAAACCGTCACACTTCCCTGGGTCCTACATTTATTGCACGCTCACATGTTTAGCAACAGAACACCACTGGTGTAAGAGATTTTCTGCTCATAGCATCAGAGAAGGAGAAACAGCTGGCTGCTACCACTTCAAATTTAGGACAAACTACTAGAGTCCCAAAAAGAAAAACACCATTTGAAGTCATGCACAACAAAAGAGGTTTGTACGTAGAAAACAGCGACCGGTGTTTAGCACTATCTCGTTTCGTCCGGCATTGCGGGATTCCGGTTCTGGCAGAGGTGACTCGGGGAGGATGTCTGAGGCGAGGTGTGAGTGTTCCGTGAACGTGTTTGCATTAAAAACCTAGCATCTCTCAAAAATGGAGCATTGCAATTGGTCGGACCCTAATTTGTTCGAGCCAATGGTAGACCTGATGAGGCTACAGTAGAGCATGGCTAGAAAAAAGCTATGCTTAGCTAGCTCAAGTAGCATTTGCTAGCTTACCACCGTGTCATTGGTCTCTGGGATGTTGACACACTTCATCAACAGCTCCACTCCAGCTGTCTGTTGAGAAAATAAAGAAAATATGTTAATTATGTAATAAAAAACAAAAAAGAAATATATAGTGTTTTTCTCTTTAATAGTTTCACTTTAATTTTGTTTGCACGGGGGAAAGAAGAGAAGAGGGGGGTAAACAGAGAGTCTGGATCACAGCAAACTGTCTGTGGTGATTTATGGTCGATGTGAAATCAAAGACCGCTTGGATTGAAAGCAGATTCAACACCCTGACGTTCCAATCCTTTTCAGACCTTTTATGCTGTCTCCCTACTGCATTAAATCTTATTTCTCCTAATGTCTGAATAAAGGTAAATGCACAGGGAAAAGACCAGCTCAGTGTTTAATAGCACTGCAGTGGCATACATTAAGGGAAGGCTAAACTCCTCATCCTCATTTAAAAAAATTTCTGTAACGGAATGAAATGACTGTTTTCCACCTAAAAGCCCCCCCCACCCCACCCCCACCCCCTCAGCAAGAACTAATCTGCATGAGACATTGTTCAAAGTCATGCATCTGCTTCTAAACTGTTTTCCTATCCAGCCTAAAAGAAGAATGAGGACAAAGGACTCTTCCTTTTTAATAGATCAAAGAACTCCATTTTTAATAAGCTAATCAAACAAAGTGTTAGTCAATAATCAATCAATCAATCAATCAAATTTTATTTCTAAAGCGCTTTTCAAACAAAGTGTGATTCAAAGTGCTTTACAAAATGACCCCAGATTCCCATAACAGGTTAAAAACATTTACAAACATATGCAATCACACGCACACGCACACACAGACTCACACACACAGACTCACACACACAGACACAAGTAAAAATTATATTTGGCTGAGTCCAGATGTGCCAAGTATGGTAACGCAAGGAAACGCCATCAGAGAAGCCGTCTGCCCCGGCAGCATCAGGTCTTCCACACTAAGTCAGGGCGCTCAGTGGAGGGGGAGCATAGACCCCCACCTATAGAGCGCCCAGGAAGCTACAGTCGACCACCGCTCCCGGGGCAGAGGGCCCCCACAGAGGAAACACTGGATTAAAATGAGTAAAAATTTAATAAAAGAGCTAATATAAATGACAAAAATTAGAAAATAAGTAATACATAAAATGATATAGACAGTAAAATAATAATTTAATAATAAAACTGTGCTAAAATATAATTATATAGAGCATGCAAAGCAAATAATAAAATATAATCATGTAAAATGAGAAATAAAACTGTAGAAAATATTTAGATAAAAGCTAACCTAAAAAGATGGGTCTTGAGTCTTGACTTAAAAACATGAACGTTCTCTGCATTCTCTAATAAAATGTGAACCAATTTGTGAAATGAAAATATTACCTACTTGATATTATAATCCTACAGATTATAAGTAATATAACTTTAAATGTTTCCACTAGAGACTGATCACACGTAAGGTTAAGCCACATCATTGCTTTTACTGATCCAATCAGAATCTGCCAGATCTGATGGAGGCGTGGTTTTGGTGGTGCTTGGTAAATCTGTCATCGTTTCATTTGACTGTAAATCAAAACATCCGAATGATAAAACTATGCCCACGTCAGAGAAGTTGTCGGAGTGGAAAATCCGTAACTTTCCTCTTCAACCGAAAGAACCAATGACAAGCTGGATAAAATCTGTTGCTGTTCCAGCTGCTGCAACGGTTCCTTTCAGAATAAAAGCTGAACCATCACGACCCCGTTTTGGGTCTTGCTAGATGCCAACAAACTGTCGTGACCCGGAAGTATCTCAAGACTGGTCTGGTTGGCAACGGCTGCTTTTCCTACCGGCTTCGGTTCCAGAGAGGGTCAAGCTGGACCTCGACATTCCTGATCTAACGGGGACTTCCGAAAGGGTGCGTAGGCCGACAGAATGGCGTCTCAATGTGTGTTATGAATCTCCAAATCAAAGCTTAGCGCAAAGACATCACCTTCAATCCCATCAGAACTAATCGTTTCTCCAGATTTGCTGGTTATGAACAACATTCCACACTACACCATTCTCCATCTCACTTCACCTTAGTTACACCATACATTTAGTGTTTAAAGTTAGTCTAGTTTTCATTTGTTTAGTAATAAATCTTTAAACTTTTAAACTTGACTCTCTCCTGTTGTCTCAGTTAATACGAAGTGTTACATAATCCCTGCAATAAAAAGGTCCAATCTTCTGGTTAAAAGTACCCAAAGATCCATAAGATTGATTTCATATTTATTATGGAATCTCATGTCTTATGGCTCATTAAATAGATGTAAAATTAACCCTTTACAATTCCAGGGATGAAGGTTTACATACACCCATGTTTGCCACAGTCTTACACTGATGCATGATTGCAATATTTTGTTATAATCAATAATGGCAACTGGGGAAAAATTATAAACATGATGATAAAAATATGCTAAAGAAAATATAACACAGAGGGAAATGAGTGAACAAGATCAATTAGATTTTTGGGGGTGAAATAAATCTAAAACTGAAAGCGCAAACAGAAGAGCTCTAAAGTGACTCATTTTGGTCTTCTCGCAAATGCAACCAGAAAAACTAAAGAAGCCCTAAGCAGAATAAACAGTTGCAGACTGCTGTTTCTCTCTATGAATTCATTGATTTAAGATAAGTAGTGACCTTTGGGAAGTAAAATAGACTTCTTCACATCAGCAGCTAACTCTAAATTGATCTGATCTCTAAACCTTGAAGTTAACTAAGCGTATCAAATGCATGGAACTAAAATCCTACGAACACACACACAAACATAGCTAAACACACACACTCCACACTTATTGCCTCTATCAAACACAAAACACACAACCTTCAGATCAACATTTACCTCATTTATACACAGTCATAGTTCATAATAAGCATTCAATGATACACACACACACACACACACACACACACACACAAAGAACATGCTGCAATCCCACTAGAGTGTGGTCTAATGAGCTGCTGTGATGCATAGGAAGCTTCTCGGTAGAATGTCAATGAGGCCCTATTAGCAACAAATAAGCTTGGAATATTGCTACCAGGCCGTCTGACATTTTCAGAGGACGTGAGCAGAATGGCTGACAGTCTTGGCTTCCCTTCAAAATCAAACATTGAAGAACATCAACAACGTCTTGGGTATTGAGAGAGAGTAACTCTTCTCAGAACATGTCTTTTTTATATGCAATGTAAGAATCACACTTGTATTGCATCTATGAGTGTTTTAATTAAGGATGCACCCGATACGATACCAGTGTCAGTATCGGTACCGGTAAAAGTTAACCGATACCAGGAACCGATACCAATGCAGTTGCCTGAAAGTGGCTTCACTGTAACTTGCCATTTCTGTTTACCTAATATTTTAGTTTTGTGATCATTTCTATTCATATATTTTACTTTTTATGGACCTCATAGTCTTTTCCTGTAGAAAGCAGAGAAGAAAATAAAACCTGTATTCCAATTCATTGCATTTTTTTGTGTAGTAAAAGGATCAGTAATCGGTATAGGTATAGGTATCGGCGATTACTCAGATCCAAGTATCGTTATCGTATCGGTTTGGAAAAAACGTGGTATCATTGCATCCAAAGTTTGAATCTTTAGGAAAAGTTTGTATTGAACACACAAATTAACATAACAGAGCCAATTCCAGTTCTATCTTAATTATACCGGCAGGCTGTGTGCCTCTTTGGTAGCTGCTTGATACTAGCTGGGTACGGTCATCGTTTACACATTTTCAATAGCAGAAAATACTTTTTTTTGTTAAGATTTTTTTTCATGAAAATATCTGTTTGCAGTTGATGTACTGGGTACTACTAATTAGTCAAACTAGCCTATGGTTCCTGTGCTAATTGTAGCTGTGAATCAGCAGCTCAGCAGATTGGCTTGATAACATGAAACAACACCAGCCACTGCAAAATGGTTTAGTCAATTTAACAATGTCCCAGCTGAGCAGACTGATTTGGGTTGGAATCTTACTCATTAATATTTATTACATTCAGCCAACTTGACTCTGACTGGCTAAAGCCGGGCGGACACTGTGCGACTGTTTCACTCGTAGCGTTCAGCTTCAGCTCAAACTGTACGACTTCCTCGAAGAGCAAATCTCACGAGTCATGTGCTCACACTGTACGACCCAGTTCTCGGATGTGACTCGAGTGCTCACACCGTACGTCTGGTAGCAACACGTCGTACCTATAAGCATCCTAAAAATAACAGTTTTTACACAACACGCCAGACTTTTTTGTGTTGCTATTGATGTCTGTTGTCCTTCGGGAGCGCTGTAGGAGGAGGACACACAGGGATTTATGGGGTTGGATGAGGAAGACTAAAGAAAGAAAGTAAATCAATGTTTTAGCAGTTCAATTTGACATAAATATGATTTCTTCGACAATATTCGTCAATGTGTGCGAAAAAAAGTGCATCAATACAAACAGAATTGCTATTGCTAATGGATAGTTTCTATTAGCCGGTACACACTCTGCGGTCTTATGGCTGCTTTATCAACACAGCCGACTGCGGTCACAAGCCAAGGTTGATAAGTCCTTAAATGCTAATTTTGCAGTGTGACTTAGATCTGTGTGGCTTGTTCTGACCCAAGCACTGACGTCTGTTTTTTTTTCAGCGACTAATGTAGAAAATAGGGACTGGAGACTATTTTTACGTTCAGCATGCATTTATTCAACTCAGTGTGACCAACCGTATTTGATGAAAAACAACTTACATACTTTTCTCAGTGAAACCTAACGGGAGATTAGGCCGTTTAAGCGTGCTTTTAGCACTCTCTAGTGTCCGTTTGTAGAACCGAAAGCAAAACCTATCTCCTCACTGTGGGTCCATCCAAAAACAAACACCTTAATCTGAAAGCTGAAATATCTCCCCAGCCTTCCTTAGTGTCTACAAAAGAGGTTCATCACTAAATTAATAATCTCAGCTGTGTTCATGATCTAAAACATGCAGGAAATGTGCTTTTCCTGCACAAATTGTATTTATTTATTTGGTTATACTTTTCCTTTTGTATTAACTTTTTCACAACATCACAAACAAACAGGTACAGTATTGAGAAACTGTGTTGTTTGAGGCTCTGTGTGTTTGCTTGCTAAGTAGCTGTTCTAGTGACTTTCCAGAATCCTGCTGTATTAATTATCGACACCCCTGTCACCTCGGAACCCTGATACTGCTGAGGCAGCAAGACCAGAGCAAACACACGCACACACACACACACACACACACACACACACACACACACACACACACACACACACACACACACACACACACACACACACACATGGCTATAATCCAGTATTTTTCTGTTCAGTACTTTAATGACTCACAGGGCTTAGTGGTAAAGTGAAGCATGCAAAATACGTAACTATAATTCAAGTCACCAGTACCTGCATTTGCAGTGTATGTGTGCGCATTTAACCTAAATCCCTTTGAACATTGGCTGAAAGAAACGATGAACAGCAGTGACATCCATTCATGACAGAGTTAGGTTAATGACACGACTCATTCTCACATGAAGATAGGCATAAATAATGCAGATTACTTTTCCACATCAGTGTTAGTTGGTACATCATGCTGTTTTGCACTTCAGTAAGTCCTAGTACAAAAGATCCAAACAAGTTGTAAAAAAGCTTGTAAGGTTTCTCTGAAAATGTGAGGGTTTCCGATTCTTTGAAAATTGTGCTAGCTTTTATCTTAAGCAATGATTTAATAACAAGGAATGAATGCTGCTGTGTTTCATAACACACAAATCACATTATTTCTGATATTTTAAACTAGTGACTTCATTGAATCGACATGAATAAAACAAGTGATAGGGGAAAAGAAAAATGCAATTTCTAAATTCATCACAAAAACTGCAGAAATACTTTCAAGTAAATAAACATCATGTTACTATTTTTACTAAATAGCTGCTTTAGATTAGACAGCAGTGTTTGAGCATCAATATTTTAAAAACAGATCATCTCACCATGTTATAGTTCTTCTGAAAGAGAGATCCACCGCTGTAGAATATATGGGACAGAGAACTTTTCCCCACGGCTGCATCTCCTGCATGAACAGGAATAAAAACAGTAGAAAACAGAAGTTTATGATCTTTTTGCATCTGCAGTTTCCTCATTAAAAAAAAACATCAAGGAAGAACTCGTTTAAATAAATGAAAACTTGCTCATTATATTTATTTAAGCGCTGTAGTTTATATTATCAATATATTTATGCTTCATCTTGAAGATAAACAAGATTTGTTGTGATGTGTCTGGTGTTGCATTGTTGAACGCTAATGAGAAATACTGAATCTGGTAAATTATTCCCTAAAAGGCTCGTATATAAATGGAGGTTAGCTAAGTATCAAAGACTAGAGAGTGTTTTGTTATTTTACATTTGAAGCTAACCGATAGCTTAAATCTCGACTGGTTAGCGTTAGCCTAGCAAACGTTAGCCAAACATAGGAAACCTTACCGACAAGCAGACACCTTGCCCTCAATTTCCCCATTGCAGCGCAAGCCTTCGTGACGCGATGAGTAAAATATGCACTTAATTCAATAATCTGGATAATATTGACTTTTACTGCTAATCTTCTAAATACTGTTCAACGCAGCAACTTGGACACAAATCGTTTCCTAGCAACCATCTAAAGTGGCGTCTTATTGGTGTACGCAGTGTATACGTAACGCTTTCATTGGCTGTTTGATATGTTGGAGAACTTCGCCCCCGAGCAAGATCTGTCAGGCATGGCTCATTCGATCCGACGGAGATAAGTAAATAGGACATTTTAAATGTTTTTCTTAACACTAATCATGACACATACTTGTAAATACTGAAAAACTGCATGTATGTAAAAACGTAATATAAATAAAATTTCAAGCGTTATGAGATATAACCGCTAGAGGGTACAAAACATACGTTTCAGAATAAAGTATTTGGAAGCGTTTTCAATGCAAAAACTCAGATTTTCTTCTTTATTTAACTGGGTCGTAATTGTTTTAAAAAATTTAATTTTCTGATTTTTTTTTTCTTCCTAACAGGGACGCGCTTTGATTAAATCAATTTAAGGCACGTGACTACCTCTGTGCGACACCGTGAGCACAGGCGCGTGCGCCATGCGTATTGGATGTTTTTATCGAGGATGCGCTCCCAAAGATAAAACACGCACTGTCCGAGCGGAAGCGCGTTCTCGTGGTTGCCACGGGCTCTAGGAGCTTACAGAAGGGGAGAAACGTCATCAAAACACCACCGCGCACCTCCGTGCAGAGGGACACAGAGGTTAAATTTACTACAAGCAAGAAAAAAAGGGGAGAGGTGGCGCGTCAGGGAGCCTGGGTGCAGAGTCACTGAGACAGCGGTCAGAGTGGTAGGACCAGAGATTTGTGCGTCTTTCGGTTATCCGGTGCTCTACATACCCTCACACACACGCGCACACACACTGTGCCTTTGAAGCTGAAGCGGGGAAGGAGAAGGGGATCTCAGAGGCGGCTGCCCAGAGAGGAGGAGGACAATGGAGGGGATGCAGGCATACGGAGCGGGGAAAGCTGGAGGAGCCTTCGACCCTGTCACCTTCCTCCAGCAGCCTCAGACCATTCTCCGCATAGTGTCTTGGGTAAGAAACCACTCAAAGCAACAACACAGATAAATAAACCAGCTAGGGTTGTCGAATCGTTTTCTGTGGATTAAACAGGCCTGTGTCAAAGTCTGGAAATCACTTCATGTTTTTGTTGATCCAGAAACTGCTATTACTGTGTATCACACGTTATAGATAGATATTCTTATTTGTTTCTGTGAGCTGAGCTGATGTTGATGCAGTCACCACGTGAGGCCCGTTTGATCGTAAACAACCTTAACGTTTAAATGAACAGATAAGGAATTAGACCGAAAATATTTAATTAGGCTGTATAAGCTTTTAATCATTCTACTTTTGGGGTGGCAGCAACAGCAGGTAAACTTTTTACATCAGCTCATGGCCACCAACATCCCTCAAAGTTATCATTCCTGTTACATTTTAGGGGGCTGGGAGTCTCTCGTGTGAAGCATTCAACCTCAAAAACACCCTAGACCCACATTTTGTTATTTATAATAAAAATAAAACAGAATCGGAGACAATCATGTATTTTCAGTTGTAAACATAAACTCATTGCTGTTGCAGGATTTTACTCTAAGCTTAAGTTTAGTTAAAAAAGAACTGGTGAAAAAAGTTATATATCTGTCATTTACAATTCAAACCTGTGATACTTAAAAAATTTTGAATTTTGGTACTAAATAGAGAGTTTCTTTGTTAAAAATTCTCAGAGTTAGAGCAGTTTACATTTTCTGTGTCATCATATGTAAATAATCTTAAATGAAAAAGAACATAAAGGGTATGTGCATGTGTTGTGCTTTTAGTTACATTTCTTTAATAATGGGAGCTGTGGGTGGCCATTAAGGATTAATTTGTTCATGCTTGTAACACAACTTTAATATGTCAAGTATCTTTTTCAGATCACAACTTGTTGGAAGTGCCGAGCGTGTTTGATGTAAACGTGCAAATATGTTAGCCATGGGGAGCATGTGAGGATAGGTCATGTGCTTTTTGTCATGTGGAGATGAAGGTTTCGGTTGTGAAGAAGCACATAAATGTTAAAGACCCATAATTATTTGTAGGAATCCACATCTTCCATTACTAAGACTGGTTGGTAACACTTTACAATAAGGGTTCCTTTATTAATGTTACTTAGTGCATTTATAAGCAAAGGATCCCTTTATTAATGTTTGAATATTGTTAACTATTAAGTGTCCTTAAGGTTGGGACAAAGGGCCAGGGGTTGTGTCTGTGTAATTTAATATTAACATTAATATTAAGCAGTTGTTAGTATTTTTTAAGTTTATTAATGCTTAATAATGCACAAAGTAACATTAATAAAGGGATCTTCTTATTGTAAAGCATTACCAACTTTTTTGTTTGTTGAGTAATTATTAATTCATTTCAGTTCAGCTTTATTTATAAAGCCACTTTCTACCCCCAATCAAAGGGACCCAAGGTGCTGAACAAGTTGTTAAGCACCTTAAAACACAATAAAACAGCTATATAGTAAAAGGCAGAAATACAACATTTAAAATGCAGTAAAAGCCATATGACAAAAATCATCAGGGGCCTCATTTATAAAGCTTGCTTACGCACAAAACTGGGTCGGAAAACTGCGTAAGCAACTTTCCACGCTCACTTTGGGATTTATAAAAGAAAACGTAGAGGAAAAATGTGTGCAACTTTAAAGGCCCTGTGCTATTTGTACTAGTTTACTACCAAATCCTGTGTTTCCAGTTCACACATTTGTCCTTTTTCATTCCTCTCAACTTGAAATTATATATTTTTATGCACATAAATTGTGGTCGAGGCTCCATGGTCATCCACCATCTTAAAATACAGTAGCTGTTTAGGGACATACGAGCTCCACGTTATGCGTTTGCACTATGACTGTAACCTGTAAGAACCAGCAGAGGGCAGCAGCGTACCCTGGAAGCATGGAGTCTGCTAATTCTACTAAGAAATAGAAAAAAAAAGCTACATCGTTGCTGTGCTTGTTAGTTTGCATAATAAACAATTAAATCAAAAGACACATACAATTTGTCGGTTCGTCATCATGTCCAACACAAGGAAGCCGCATATGTTCAGATCCCCGCCCGCTATTATCTGGACGCCAGCCTCCGATCAGTGTCTCTGACTCCCAAACTCACCTCAAGTTGTTCATTCTTCTTTTCCTAGTACCAGAACTCCTGATCCGGTCCCAACGTGTCCTTCTACTCAAGTCTCCTCTCTTCCCGCAGCCTGCCGTCTCGCCCAACACACTCCAGCGCTCATGCGCTAGCCAGTGGCTAAGTCAGCGTCGTTTACTTTATCTCCACAACACTCTACTAACGGCGATGTAGTTCTCCATGCTACAGAGACGCTCCGACACAGAGGGCTTCTTCTCAAACGTCACCTTTAGACTTGGGTCTCCTTCTACTGGTAATCCGTGGGAGTTTACGGGCAGCATACACTGCATCTCCCTGGCTCTAGCTCGGTTGCTCATGATGCCCATCTCCACCACGCCAGCCGTGAGCCACGGTTAGCTGGTGGATAAGTCAACATTGTTTACTTGATCTCTAGCATGTCCCCGGCTCACCAACACTCCTTCACTAGCCGTGGTTAACGATTAGCCAGTGGTCGCTCCATTCTGAATATTTCAGGGGAACACAATTTCTAACAACACCTGACCTCCCGGCTCACGTCACCCCTCCTCTGTGTGTGAATCGTGACAGCTTCAAGAACAGAACTAGCTTGCATCCCTCAGAACTGGTAGGCTGATAAAACAGTCATAATTATAAATGCTTTTTTAAAGAGGTCGAGTAGCTTGTTTTAAGCTTTGTGTGGGTTAGGCTACACAGGTCGGAAATTGATTATGCAGTCAAACTCATGAGTGAGCCACCGTAGCTACAATGCATTCTCAGAACTGCATGGTGCTAAAGAGTTGCATTTTTTCATCATGATTTCAATGGATTTCACACAAGGGGCCTTTAAGTTGACTAAGGACCTGGCTTAAGCACATTTTGAACATGGAGAGCACCTGAAGTGCGGCTGCTGAGAAGGATAAAATTATGAATTCCAGCAGCACTATCACTAGTACTGCTTCGTGCGCACACAAAACAAGTGTGCCGCTTCTGGGACACACTTGGAACTTGCTGCGTCGATATTCGTCTGTGTTTAAAAAGTCTCTGAAATACATTAAAACAATATAAACACACAATAGTAAATACACTATTGTGGACTAGCCTGGCCTGCCAGACTCCTCCTCTGTTTAATTCTGCACAGAGAAAAGAGTCTGGTATCTCACAGGCAGAGAGGCACTTGGGGGGCGGGACTAGGCAGCTCAAAAATAACCAATCAGAAAAAGACAGAAATGCCGACTGTACCGCGCGACGCTGTAGTTTTCTAGCTGTAGTCAAAAATGAAGTCTGGTGACAGCGCAAACATCTTTCTTTAGTGCTTCTACTTGTTGTGGTTTTAAAGACATTTGAGTCATTTAGAACAGAGGAAAGAGCCGCAGCAAGCTCCGCTTCAGTCGCCATGTCACACAAACTCGGCCTTATGGTGTGCGACGTATGCTAATTACGGTTATTTGAATAGGAGCGTTCCCAGACCCGTTCTCTGTGCAGAATTAAACAGAGGAGGAGTCTGGCAGGCCAGGCTAACTGTGGACCAGATACGTGACTGTAATAGTGACAGGATACCCCAGAAAAGCACTACATACTCTGTTGTCCTGGCAGGGAATTGCTTTGCAACCCTCCCCAGGTGACGGAGAAGTCCAAAGGGAAAACATCTACGTCAATCTGTGTGTGTCACTCCACACTCAAGCACTCAAGCTGACGGAGAAGTATTAATCAGTCTTTAAACTGACAAAGCCCTAAAACGGCTCATTCTGGAATGTTGTAACACTCATTTTCTAACACATAACTTTCATTTTGTAACGTGTAACTTTTGGTACGCAACATGAAACTTTCATTTTGTAATCTGCACTTTTGAAATTTTTGACTCTAATGACCATCCGTTAGTAAGGCCTTATTTGAACACAAAAATAATACTTGCTTGCAATGATTTAGGCATGTACTGCCCCCTATTGCCAGGGAAAATACACACTGTCACTTTAAGAAAAAAAAATCATGTGCAAATTACTTAAAGAGCAAGTCACCCCCAAATTAACTTTTTTTGCTGATAAACTAAATAAACGAGTGTCTAATCGTGCTGCAGACACGTGTCGTCAATAATTTGGCACTTCAGTGCAGCTTAGTTAAAATTTAAATATTCTGCCTAAAACTGGCAGTGTTGTGCCGTCGTCAGGTAAAAACTCTGCACTGTATTCTAATTTAAATCTGCCACCGCTATTGGCTAAGAGGTATGCTATGATGTAAACTGGTACATGCTGTTGCCTGGCAGACCGAGAGGACGGAGCTGCTAACAAATATACACACACACACACAGGCTCACAACAGCATTGTGACATCATAATGTACCAGTTTACATCATAGCATACACCTTAGCCAATAGCGGTGGCAGATTTAAATTCAAATACAGTGCAGAGTTTTTAGCTGACAACGGTGCAACACTGCCAGTTTTAGGCAGAATATTTAAATTTTAACTAAGATGCACTGAAGTGCCAAATTATTGGCCACACGTGTCTGCAGCACGATTAGACACTCGTTTATTTAGTTTATCAGCAAAAAAAAAGTTTATTTGGGGGTGACTTGCTCTTTAAGTGTAACCATTTGTCATCATGTTTATGCAGCCAATTGTCCTAATTGAAAAAGTTTGCCAATGGAGAAAATGTCAACACAATTATGCTTATACTTCTACAAAATCGTGAAAATAGCTGTTTACAAGTTGGCTGTTTTTTGATGAGCAATGTGTGTTTTAGTTCTATAACTGTTTTTTTTTAACCCAACAATTTTTGCAGAGTATTACTGGACATCAGACTCACACACAGGTATGGAGTGTGTTTACGAGCCCTCATCGAATGCCCCACCATGAAGTATCACCAGAGCAACAACGTGTCTCCATAGTAACAGCCACAGGCTGAGCTTGGATGTTTGGGG